CGTTTTGACGCCGATGTTCGGATGACGAAGGACCAATGGCACAAACCCCAATGTCGGTGGTTTATATGGACCCCATCTGTCTAGGACATCTTGGGGTTTGCGCCATGGAACCTCTGAATCCCCTGTAACATGGTGCTGGCGTATGTTGCGGTTGCTTCAGGTACAAAGAGTTCAGGTTCCTCATCCTCACTCGTTTACTTGTGACAAGGATGTGTCAGAGTGGTGGTGATGCAGGGTCGGTGCAGCCGCCGAACAAAGAACAAACATGAACAAAGCCATTTTAGAAGAGGAGTTTGGGATTGAATTGGGCCACCCGCAGGTCACTCACTTTTAGCAAACAGTGATTAAACATCTTAATCTGCAAGTCTTAAACAATTGTAGCACACACTGATCTTCAAACACCTGTGGCCAACGGGACATTCACTTCAGTCCGGTTAGATGGGTCTTGTGCGAGCACTTAGCTTTCTCCATCTGTTTCACATTGATCTATACGGTTTCATTTTGTTACTGTAAGGTTTCTTTGGGCTTGGCGTACGGTTTCTCTTGTCCAGGGTTTCTTTTGGCTCGCTCACAAAACACCGCAAGGTCAAGAGAATAGCCAGCCAGGCAATTCAATGACTAAGAGCAATAAACTCAAGAAGCTATTCTTAGTGCTCAGCACACGTCAAGCACAGAAAAGCCAGTTGGTAGAGGCAGATTGTTGAATTGTTGAGCTGCCTGCGAAGCTGAGATAATCGCAGCACAACTCGACGAGAATTCTCCACAAGTTCAACTTCTCAAAGAATCAAGGTCAGAGGAGCGCGCCATGTCAGTTGAGATCTGACCAATTGAAGCTCTTTTGCAACACCGGTTCTCTGCAATTTGCTTGAACTCCTGGTGCAACTCGTGGTGCTCGAGTCAAAGCACCTCTGGGGAAAACACACCTGGTGCTCCTGTCTCGTGCTGTGGACCAGCTTCGAGAGTCGCCGGAGGACTCCACCAGGGCCCCCCGCCCGATTTGGAGTTGGCCTGGCCAGCTGGGCATGTGTGTGGCATGGAACAAGTGGACCTGGAGAACCGCGGACCCTGAGAACCACTGGGGACCCTCAGAATTGCTGGGGTCGTAGAGGAAAAGTCACCCTGTGCTTGATAGTCCATTTTCTGATAGTCCATGTGAATCGAAATCGCGAGAAAGCGGGGCACGACGCGCGTTCTCCGGAGAAAGCGGGAGTTTCTGGCGGCACCGCCTTCTCGTCGATGGCCACCACCTGGGGTTCTCGAGATGGCGAGAACTTCGTCGGGTTCCATGCAGATCCATGCAGAACGGGCGGCGCACGTGTCCGGTAGATCATCCCTTGTTGGGGCCCAGTTCATGATAGTTGGAGGCATGCCTCCCAAAGATGGTGATACAGTAACCCCTTTCAGGGACACACGCTATAGCTATAGCTCAGGAAAAAATCAAGTTGACTGTAATAAGTTAAGACGAAAACCTTCCGGTCCCTGGCCTCTGGGCCTCTGGGATTGATTTTAATTCGAGGCACTGCCAAGTCTGACTGCTCGAAGACCTCTCAGAATTTTGTGGTTGGGTGCTAATGTGGACTGGATAGGTTTTCACATGACCCTGGGGAAAGCCAAGTTTCTGAATACCAAGCAGGTGTCGGTGTGCAATTAGTACATGGCAACAAGCTGGATCAATATTGTCTAACTCCTTGAACATCTGTGAATTTCCTCCTTCTATCAGAGCTCGTTTTTGCTGCCTAACATCCCACAAAACAACACCCATGTACTAGAGGTTCATGCTTGAAGTGCTCCCTGTGTTGGGCGCCCCTAAGGATCTTTGGTAGGCAAGTCTTTCTTGTTCATGTCTAGGAAGACTGCGGCTTGGCATTACTTAAGCAATTCGACTTTATTTACCTGCATTGGGATTGTTTCGAAGCCCAAAGCAGGTTCCATACATTGAGTGTCTGGGTAACAATCTAGAGCTTGGGTTTTCCTCGGACTCAGTAACAAAGGACAGTCACGAACAATCAGTGAAGGAGGCAAGCAGTTTCTTGCTGTTCAGGCACCAAGAATTGATTTACTGTAAGGGCAAGGTTGGTGTTGGTTTGTGTTGATGTCCACACACTTGCTCGCCAAAAATGCCGCAATGCGTTTTGGACTTGCATGTCGTGGATTGATATGTGATAAAAAAGAACATACAGAAAAGGCTCGTGAGAAAGAAGCTCTTGATGAACAGGCCCATTGGTTCTCTTAGGTTTGGAATGGTGTCCTCATGGCCACCGACCACTGGCAGGAAGGAGTTCATCGAGAAGTTCAGGCTTGGCTACGATACTGGGTGAGAGAGGGGCACGTGCCACTGTTGATTGAAGACATCCAAGAAAACCTAAAACCACCAAAAACCGTGTACCACAAGGTTGTGCAAGTTCGAACAGATACAAAAAGTACGTAGTTATTCAGTTAAGATATTTCCTTTGAAATCTTGAAGAGGAAGTTCCCATGTTTTGCCAAAGGTTGCGCCCAGTATCACCATCAACATCTGCCCGATCATGCCACCCAGGCGCCGAAACCTTTGGGAAGGCACCTCTCCTGCGATGAGCTTGTTAGATCTTGTTTGTATGTTTGTGTAACGTGGCTCCACCTGCTATACTGGCTAGACTGGTTTTCCCTGTTTGAAGGGACATACTTAGGAATATTTGGGAATATGAAATATTAATGGTCCTATTATATCCCAAAGACTCCATACATGCATATATATATTGGCCCCCCAAACCACCCCAATGGGTCTGGATGCCCCGGGCGGCCCTCCGTCGCTCCCTCCTGACCACTAGCCAGCAAAGGTCAAAGGTTCACGTCGAGACTCAATCATCCCCTCGTAGTTGAGGGCCGTGCCCCCAGGTGGAACCGACGAAACGACCTCACCGGCCGGCCGTGCCCGGCCCCCCGCGGTCTATGGTGCTTTTGCTGGTCTGCAAGCCGACCAGGTGATCCAAGAGCCAGAACACGCTTCTGGCCGTTGCGGTGTGTCACTGTCAAAAAAGCGCCGCTTGCCACCGGCGCTGGCCCGGAACGTTGACTTAGCTTGCATGTGACATCTTGGTACTAGACTATATCTATCTGCCGCGACATGTCGAGACACCGCAAGGCTCGTGTAAAAGAATTGTGCAGTCGTGTTTGTAACCACTGGCATGGGCAGCCTGCCCATATGTCTGGCATCCTGGAATCTGTGCTTTGGATTCCCTAGACTTCCAAGACCATTATAAAAATGGTTGACCTTGTTTTTGAAATGAAAAATCCTTAGTTGATTCGGTAAAGCCTATTAAAATAATGGTTGTTGGAAGCCTAGGGATTCACATGTAAATTAATTTATTGGTTCAAGTTGCATTCAATTGAATATAGGATGGCCGTGTGAACAACGGGTGGGTCCTTTATAAAATCATTCTGCAAACCCCTCACGGCCTTTTAAACATGGAAGCAGGTCAAGATTTCAGGTTTCTATGAACTGACAGGTCCAACCTATGTTATGATAGATGCATATCTTGATGTAGAAACATATGAACAATGACCATGACCATGATCAGGACTTTCATGTCATCCAAACGTATCTGCAAATCATTGAGACAATAAGCATCATCAAGCATCCCTTTCTTGCGCAGTCACACCATATGCCAAGTCTGGCTAAAGACACTGCAAGGATCAACATGGCAAGAAAACAACGAACAACCTGAAAAAAACATATTGAATTGGCAGCATGTACGATTTGTACAATGCATCACTATCGTTATATATGATGAGGAGCAGCTGAGACAACCCTGGCAAGAATCTTGAAAAAGGTTGACGCATGTTGAAGCTAAAAGAAACAAATAGTGTATATATATAATAGTATATAATAGTAGCATGATGTAGCATGCTTGTTATACATGTTCAAGAGGCTGGAATTGTCACTTTATAGAACCTGGGAATCCTGAAAAAGCTTCACAAGGCTCTTATTGAATGATTTTGGTGACCCTGAGAAGTGAAGTAAAACTGTATAAATCCACTTGAGTAGCGTTTTTTTTATTGCATGATACAATTTAGATTAGACTGTAACTCCACAAGTGTTTGCGAAGGCATTTGTGTGATACATTGTGTGTAGCGAAGGCTCGCGAAGCCTTTGGCGTAGGCTGTTGGATTTCACACAGGCGAAGCCAACTCGCGAAGGCAAACTTAGAGTCTATGAAAGGTTGAATCTGGCGTGTCGGAACCGCGAAAGCATTTCGCAAAGCCTCTGGTGTTGCACGAAGCCTCGCGAAGCCACCCTTCCCACAAATTCTGACCATGCGAAACCTCCAGCGTAGGCAGCCCAGCAGTGTATAAGCACTTTACCTTTTAAAAAAACACGGCTCACTTGGGTCAAGAAAGGCCTGTGGAATTAGGGGTGCAGCACTAAGGAAGTAAGGATTTTTCAGCAAAGGCTTACCTTTGGCACTCCATGTCTTAACTGGCTTAACTTGTTGTTTCAATGTATTTAATCCTTTGTGCTCCTCATTTAGCTGAACTGCCTGAGGACAAGGGAACTCGTCGCAGAGCCAGGGTCGGAAGAGTCATGAGCGGATGGAGCGGATGATGAGCGGATGCCTGGAGAGCTACGGGTGCAAAGTTAGAGCCTAGGATGCATGTTTTAACTGTGTGTTCGATTCTATTTGAGAAAAAAATGATTTGCATTAGTCAGCTAATGTTTCACCTTTTTGTAAAGCCTTGGGGAGTTGGAAGAGTCATGTGACAAAGCCAGGAGGGATTGGGATGGTCATTTCATAGAGACTGGGATGTCCAGTGAAGGGGGCCATGAAGCGTTTCATATCAGGGTTAACCCTCATCATTTCATAGAGGAAATTTACATGGCTGTAATATATGATCATGTAAATTTATGGTCTCTATTTACTTGGTGTTGAGTATATAAATATATTTAAATATATAATCCTAAGCCTTAGAACACATGTTTTCGATACACAAGTCACCCCTACAAACTTCGCAACATCCCCTGCCTCGGCCAGAAGAAAGCCAGGTTCGCAATCCCTCATAATCCCCCAGGAACATTGCAATACCTTCACAAAACACTGGTACTGATCGACCTCGAAGCCCATGTGAAACCGGTCTTTGTTGGGCCCTTGTTAGGGCCTACCAGCTCAACGAACTACCAGCTCTTTGGCTTACTTATGCAGTCGACGCTGGGCCGCCTTGTGCTTCCCTGCCTCGCTGCCACGGTGTGGCGCTGGGCCGCTTTGGGCCACGTGCACGTCGTGCGCGACGTCAACGGGCGCCGCCGGTGGAGGGGCCCTCCGGAGCGCGTCGGCGAAGCGCTGGGAGGGACCTGGCGTGGCCAGGTCCGTGGGGCGCGGAAACGGCGAACTCTAGCCAACTGCGCTTCAATGATACAAAAGAGAAAAGAGTGCATGAGTAAAGTGACTTAAGTACTGGGAAGGGCTGGCAAGAACTGGAAGTTGGGCCAAGCCAACCCACGTAGCGTGGATGAAGCCCCCACGAAAATGTCATGATACTAACAACGGCAAGAGCTTGAGGTCAACGGCAACTCGTATCGGCCTTCAGTTGCAGCCGCAGGTTGCGCTCCAGGTGCTTGTTTCGCACGCGGCAATGCCGGCCATCCTGGTCACAGTCAGTCAGCAGGAGAAAAGAACGCTTTTCAATGCTTTTCACACGTTTTCATGAGCTCAATTCTCTGCATAGTCCATCCGTTCATCCAATGCACTGACAAATCATTCTAATTATCCTTGGTCACCAACATACACCAGGATAAAACCACATCTGGAAGACCAGGCCACATCTGCATGTGAGTATCAGGCCTGACAAGTTGTCGCATATATCTAATTACTATACTACTATTCCTTCGAGTTCCCATACCCATGATTTGTAAATTAGCCAGGAATTCCAGTCAGCCTCACATTGTCATGATCCCCAAATCACCCAAACTTTGTAGGGTCATGGTATTCACCAAGGATGCTTGTGCAGAACAAAGCGACATCCCCAAAAAATTATCTTGCAACCACTCCACACAGCAATCACCCTAAAGACTGCAACTCATGTGTAATAAATGGACTTTACTAGAGTCAACAATGAACTTGTGTGTATATGTTATATAAACTACATTCAAGGGCTGGGAACAGCTGCAATAATATACTGTACAGTAAATACTTTGCACACCGTATGCAGGGTGTCTGCCTTCTGGAATGTCTGCAGGTGCAGCTGGTTGCACTCCAGCTGCTTTGTCACCCAATGGCATCAATCCTGGTGGCTCAGGTGGAGAACTTCAAGGCTTTCTACTCTAAGGTCACAGGGTCACAGGTCAAGTCGTCATCGACAAAGGAGAGAATATCCACATGACATGTTCAGTGCTGGACCGCCTGGGAAGTACCAAAATGACATCCCAATGGCATCAGTTGTTCCATACAACCACTCAAGCCTACTTATATAAGCTCCTACGAATACTTAACTGCAACTCATGCAAGCAGTATTCTTGACTAAAAAGAATCAAAGGCCAAGGGCCACTTGCAAGGGCTGGCGGCTGGATCATGCAACAAAAGGTCCGAAGACTGCCACTACAGAAGTGCATGAAATGCATCCACTTAAGGCACCAATCAATTCCTAGCAACCTTTGAAAGGATATAAAGGCGGCTAGCTGCTTTTTTCACTCTGTTTAACTCACCTACAGCATTCGTTGACCACAATCTTTTGGAACGTCAAGTTGTATGCCTTCTGGAATGTGTGCAGGCGCAGCTGGTTGCACTCCAGCCGCTTCGGCACCTGATCGCGGCCACTCCGCGGCACAAAAGAATCAACGTGTTTGAGTGAGGTCACAGCCCAAATCGCCATCATGCCCAGGTCACAAATGTTGTAAATTCTATCCACTTGGGATGTTTTACAAAATGAAAGATATATGCTAAAATGATCTAAAATATCCACACGCACACACACCACTCACCCCCAAAACCTCTTGGTCAACTGCAATTAATATATATATATAGCCATAGCATAAAGGTACAAGATACTTGTACGAGCTGACGAGCTGGTACACCAATACACTGCTTGTGGGGGAGCCGAGGGACCCCACTGCCCAGTGCAAGAATTGGTTTGCTGCCTCTCACTGTTTGAGGCTGCCCATCTATCGAAAAATACCTTGGCCAATGGCAAACCATCGGACAGTTGCACGCCTGCGTCTGCTCCCGGCGCAGTCCCAGCCACTGCAGCTTCAGGACCCCATGGCATCAATCCTGGTCGGGAGCTCGTATTGAACAAAAATGATCCATCCACTAATAGCAAAGATTCCATTCAGTACCCACCGGATTGTATATATTTGTTTATATGTTGTCTGTTTGGGGGGGAGTGGTGTGTGGAGTTGTGTCCGTTCAATGACTTTGGTGTAAGGAAACCAATGCCCCCACTACATACATTAAGTGTGTACAACACGCCGCCCAAAGTGGGAGAAATCAATTCCAACAGGATCTCATTACAATGAAAAAACTACGGATCAGACCGAAGTATGTGCAGTACACTATGTGTTTTTGGTTGACCATTGTTTGCACGGCAAGTTGTATGCCTTCTGGAACATCTGCAGGCGCAACTGGTTGCTCTCCAGCTGCTTCAGGGGTCCAGGGCATCAATCCTGGCCACGGCCACGGCCACTCTGCTGGAGTTTGACACATGAATCGGCCATGTGGGGTCAAAGCTAAAGAATTGTCATCATGCATAGATTGCACAAATGTTGTTCCAAGTCCTGGGAATGTTTTTACAGACTCAGCATGCAACAAAAGCCGCAATTCTTGTGCCACTCCACACCTCGACACACTCCAAAGGCTCCTAGTCGCAACTCATGTGTAAAAAGATTCAACTGAACCAAAGTACAATAAAATACAATAAACATATACTGTTCAAGGGCTGGGGAGTACTACATGACATATATACAGTCATATAGTGTATATTGGGAAGCTAATGTCCCCATGGCATAAGTGCATGCAATGCCCAAAAGGGACCACGTCCACGGAAAAAAGAATAGACAGGCTGCCACAGGTAAGATGTTGAATGGCAAGTTGCGTGCCTTCTGGAACGTCTGCAGGTGCGGCTGGTTGCACTCCAGCTGATTCGGCTCTCCATGGCATCACTCCTGGTGGCCACTCCGATGGAGAAGAACTTCAATTTTGACACCAATCAATAAGCCACTCAATGTCACAGCTCAAAACGTCATCATCCACATGTCGTTCAGTGCTGGCAACCACATACCTCAAATCTGTCACCACCACCATTGTCAGGCCATAATTAAGGACCCCCTATTGATTAGATTAGTTTGGTCCACCTGATTCCTTCAAGACTAACCACCGTGCAATACTAAGCGCCTTTCTTCCCCGTGTTGAAGTCCTTTACAGTGATTTCACCAATCCCGCATCCCATGGTCCTATTGACAATTCACAATACTTTTCCAGTTCAAATCAAAACACAATTTTCTCGAGTAGTTCATTGCTGGTTCATGCCTTTGGCAGTTGGACCCCTCTACATGAGTCGAGTCTTCAGGATCTCCCCATGATTGACTCTGATCTCACTCTGACCTTCCCACCCCCCCAAAGAGCAAAGCTTCAGGGGGAGACTTTTGATCATTTGCTCAACATTTCCCCAACGGGCCCTCGTGGAGTGCAACTTATCAGCAAATAGCAAAAAAACTAAAAAATACTTGAGAACATCTGGCAAATCGTAAATGTATATGTTGTATGCAGATGTATGCAGGGTATGTAGCTCATGTTGACGGTTTGACTGGGTGTTTGCACAAGTTGTATGCCTTCTGGAGCATCTGCAGGCGCAACTGGTTGCTCTCCAGCCGCTTCAGGGCCCCAGGGCATCAATCCTCCCACTCTGCTGGAGTTTGACACATGAATCGGCCATGTGGGGTCAAAGCTAAAGAATTGTCATCATGCATAGATTGCACAGATGTTGTTCCAAGTCCTGGGAATGTTTTTACAGACTCAGCATGCAACAAAAGCCGCAATTCTTGTGCCACTCCACACCTCGACACACTCCAAAGGCTCCTAGTCAATTGCAACTCATGTGTAAAAAGATTCAACTGAACCAAAGTACAATAAAATACAATAAACATATACTGTTCAAGGGCTGGGGAGTACTACATGACATATATACAGTCATATAGTGTATATTGGGAAGCTAATGTCCCCATGGCATAAGTGCATGCAATGCCCAAAAGGGACCACGTCCACTAAAAAAAGAAATAAACAGGCTGCCACAGGTAAGATGTTGAATGGCAAGTTGCGTGCCTTCTGGAACGTCTGCAGGTGCGGCTGGTTGCACTCCAGCTGATTCGGCTCTCCATGGCATCACTCCTGGTGGCCACTCCGATGGAGAAGAACTTCAATTTTGACACCAATCAATAAGCCACTCAATGTCACAGCTCAAAACGTCATCATCCACATGTCGTTCAGTGCTGGCAACCACATACCTCAAATCTGTCACCACCACCATTGTCAAGCCATGATTAAGGACCTCCCATTGATTAGATTAGTTTGGTCCACCTGATTCCTTCAAGACTAACCGCCGTGCAATACTAAGCGCCTTTCTTCCCCGTGTTGAAGTCCTCTACAGTGATTTCACCAATCCCGCATCCCATGGTCCTATTGACAATTCACAATACTTTTCCAGTTCAAATCAAAACACAATTTTCTCGAGTAGTTCATTGCTGGTTCATGCCTTTGGCAGTTGGACCCCTCTACATGAGTCGAGTCTTCAGGATCTCCCCATGATTGACTCTGACCTCACTCTGACCTTCCCACCCCACCAAAGAGCAAAGCTTCAGGGGTAGTCTTTTGATCATTTGCTCAACATTTCCCCAAAGGGTCCTCGTGGAGTGCAACTTATGAGCAAATAGCAAGAAAACTATAGAATACCTGAGAACATCTGGCAAATGGTAAATGCGCATGTTGTATTATGCAGGGTATGTAGCTCACGTTGACCGTTTGACTGGGTGTTTGCACGCCTTCTGGAACATCTGCAGGCACAAATGGTTGCTCTCCAGCCGCTTCAGGGCCCCAGGGCATCAATCCTGGCCACGGCCACGGCCACTCTGCTGGAGTTTGACACATGAATCGGCCATGTGGGGTCAAAGCTAAAGAATTGCCATCATGCATAGATTGCACAAATGTTGTTCCAAGTCCTGGGCATGTTTTTACAGACTCAGCATGCAACAAAATGCGACAATTCTTGTGCCACTCCACACCTCGACACACTCCAAAGGCGACTAGGCGCAACTCATGTATCAATTCTGGTGCCAATGCCCCAACTACGTGGTGGTGCATGAAACGCCCTTCCAGGGGAAGGGTCAATTCTTTAAGGATTGACCGATTGTAAGTTTGAGGCTGTCGAACGGAAACAAAAATGCCACCGGAACGACGCTTGAACAACTTGAACACTGTTAAACGGCGATACCTTCTGGAACATCTGCAGGTGAAACTGCAGCGCCCGGCATCGATCCTGGTGTTCCACGAGTGAATGAACCAGGTGAGGTCACAGCGAAGACATCGTCAAATACCAAAGTAACAGAGACATCAAGCACATAGCAGCTTCTATATGTAGCCAGCTGCCAAATGATGCGGTTAAGTGAGCTGTAGCTACTATGTCGTCGAATGTCGTCAAGCTATACAGCAGCCACTGACAACTTGCCTTCTGCAGCGCCGACAGGCGCAGTTGGCTGCGCTCCTGCTTCAGCACCCGCCGGCAATCCTGGTCGTAGCCAGTCCGAGAGAAAGGTGTTCAAGCGTGAAGCTGAAAGGAGCGACGTGCCACCCACTCTTGTAGTCTTGTAGTGCGCTCTCTTGCGAAGGTTTAAATAGTTTTGTGAACCTTACATCGTGCATCATCGTGCCTATAAGGTTTCCCTCATTTTACTTACTTAGTCTTCACTTTATAGTGTTGCCGCCTTCAACGGAGGTTTTGGCAGTTGCTCAAATCTCTGCACAGCCCCTCAGGGCGTCCACACCGTGATCGCGGTGAACTGCTTCGACGCAACACCACATGTGTCTGGCAAATTGCCACCGAAACATCAACACCAGGGACTTTCCAATCGTGTTTGATTCCGACACACACATATATATATATAGACGCACACGCACTATTTCGGAGTTTGGTGCAAAGTCCCAAAACTGCCTTCCAAAGACACGTGTAAAAATGTCCAGGGCACCCCGGGCACACCAGCTATATACCCCCCAAAAGATCCAAAAAATCACCCTCCAACACGCCCAAGTTCACACCATCAACAGTTCGACCATGTTCGACCCTCCCACGCTTCCACCGCCCAACCACGCTTCCACCGCCCTTCTCGGCCCCGCGCGGCCTTGGGAGCTGCTGGTCCGCAGCGACCTCGAGGACGCGCGGCACCGACCGGGACCGGCGCGCGAGCGCGGGTCGCTCTCTCCAAGAGGCTCAGGCTTGGGCCAGGTCCGGAAGGTGGGATGTGCAGACAGGGAAGCCATTGTGGGGCGTTCTGTCCAGACTCCTGCTTGAGGAAAGGAACCTCCCTAAACTCGACCCACGACCGGCCGGGTGGCTCCGGATGGTGTGCAGGCTGGTGTCGGGCCGTCCGGCTGTCCGGCAATCCAACGCAGGTCCGATCCAAGCAGTTCCGCGCCAAACCGCATGGCACAGCGACATCACCGTTCTAGCAGTCTTATAGCCATCAATGGACACTCTGCAAGCGAAGAAGATCTAATCAAGATTTTTAAGTGAAAGGTTTAAAACGGGCATTAAGCAAAACCCTCGTATCCTTCATCAGGATATGTTGCTTTCAAGTTTGGATACAGGTTGAACAACGAAATACTGAAATTGTCCTGAGACCCCCTAATTCATTTCAAAACAACCAAGAGTCATTTAGTGTCAATTCTTTCGGGGGGGCGTGTTCTTTTTATGTTATATATTTGTTTTCTCCTGTGGAAGGGATCAAGGGCAGGTAAGTATTTCCCTAGAAAATAAACGATTGCAACATCCTTTTTCTATTTGTTTCTTTTCCAGTGTTCTCCTCATCCCAATCACCCCCCAACCGAGCGGGTTTGTCTCGTGTGGTGAAGCGAACCGTCCAAACGTCTCGCCTGGGAGGACCCTCCACAGACTTCTCCAAGTTGGTCGAGGAGGATGCCTGGGCGTGGATGAAGGCATACACACTCCCACCGTACCCCTGCACTCAAGCAGGGCCTGAAAGTGGCACCACACTGTTAGGGCGGACGTGTGGGGCGTTTTGGGGTTGGACATGGTAAGGATTCCATGTTGCAAAGCTCATTCGGAAGAAACATGCTCTATGCAACCCAGTCTCGGCACGCACACGCACACACACGCTCTTGAGAAACGTGGCATTCGTGGATTTGGAGAACATCGTATACACTCTGACGCACACATCACACATCACGTGGACCAACTCCCTGGTTTCGGGCTTGCCGTCTTCCTTTCGGGAAGACGTGCCATTCACTTCCATGCGATTCACTAGTGACTGTACACCCACCTAGACCCGAACGTAGAAAACAAGTGCATCGCTACCCGCTACTAGCTAACAAGTGCCTTACTATAGTATACTAACAAAGAAGCGAACGTAAAAACCACCTTAGACCCAAAGTCTTTGAAGCACTTGCACTTGGACGGTACGCAGACCTCGTTTCGGACCGGACGTCCACCGTCCTTAGGGCCGGTGGTTCACCCGGTTTGCCCAAGCGGCTGTGAGAGACCCGGTGGAGGCATTCACAGCACCTGAATGGATTTGCTGATGGAACCTGGAAACAAAGAGGTCCATATGGAACATATAAAACCAGATGGAAGTGGAACATACTAATGCTCTTCCAGTTGTATTGCCATCTTGCATCTAACCCCAATGGAAACGCAACATCCAAACGACTTTCTACAAGACCAAACGACTTAACACAAGTGCTTGTATGGTCCATAGGCCTGTGGATTAAAAGACCATGTGGATAATACAAAAAGTCACCTCATCATGCCAAACCAGGTCACCAGACTTCTGGTCAACCACATTGTCATTGCCTTCAACGCTGCTCTCTTGCTTTCTCTTCACCTCCACGCTGTCTCGACTGTTGTCGTTAACGCTGTTGCCATTGTTGACGGGTACATAGTTGCCGCTGTTGACCGGCACATATGCATTGTTGCCATTCTTGGATGGCACATAGTTGCCGCTGTTGACCGGCACATACGCATTGTTGCCATTCTTGGATGGCACATAGTTGCCGCTGTTGACCGGCACATATGCATTGTTGCCATTCTTGTTGGGTATATAATTGCCACTGTTGACTGGCACATCTACTGTGTTGCCATTGTTGAAAGGTACATAATTGCCGCTGCCAACTGGCACATCTACTGTGTTGCCATTGTTGAAGGGTACTGAGTTGCCATTGTTGAAGGGGACGTTCACATCGTTGCCGTTGTTGAAAGGAACGTTGATATCGTTGCCGCTTTGGAATGGAAAGTTCACCCAGTTGCCACTGGTGAAGGTCACCTTACAGGCGAAGGCATGAAACGAAACGGAGGTCGCGGTGGTCTCTTCCCCAAAGAAGACCATGGAGTCCATCGAGATGGTCTAACATCATGTTGTTACAGTACAATCATGTTGATGTTGAGTATGTTGCCTACATGATCGGTTGGTCTAACATCTCTGTATGTCCACGTCATCCAGAATGCCTTCAGAAGTGTGCACTAAAAACCATGTTGGCATGTCCAAAAGTACTGGGCACAACTCATAAATTGGGGATGGTCTTGGGGCGAAAGTAAAGGGCCTCCCCATGCCGGAACACGCTCCGATTTGTATCCGGTCCAAAACACTTTGCCGGAAGCCGAGTGGGTCTGTAAAGGGCCATTCCGAAATAGCTATAGAATACTCCCCAGAGCTCCAACCACCTCCTGAGAAGGTGTCTAACCACCTTCTGAGGATATGGTTGGAACCACCTCC